CATACCATAGGCCTCATCATCATCACCATCAGATCAATCAACACCAGATCTGACGTTCCAGGATGGAAGCCACATGATGGATCTCCCAGCTTGCTCCACACTAAACCACACGCTGGCTATGGGCTTACAGTTTCTGGGCCTTTGATAAAAGTTTCAGCTTGCAACCCCCAATTTGGGTTCACACCCCCCTCAGGCCTATTTCTCAATTCTCAATTTTTTTATTATTATTTAGTTTTTATTTCTTTTGTTTTAAATCATTTTTTCAAAATCCTAAAATCAGAAAATAATCACAAAAAAATTAGGACTTAGTTTTTTTCTTAATAAATTAATTTTTTGCCAATTAATTAATTTAATTAACTTTAATTTATTTTCATTAATTAAAATTAATTAGAAGATTAGGTTAAATTTTAAATCTTTTTCATAAAAAATTCCAAAAATATTTTCAATGAGCAAATTAGATTTTTTAGGGTTTTGATCTTTTTTCCAGTTTTAATTCTCGCGTGTTATTATTTTTCCGTTCTATTACTTTTTTAAATTATTGATGTAACTGCGCCCGGTTTGTAATAGCTTAATTAGGGTTTACAATTTCTGCACTTTATTTTTCATTCATTATCTATGTATCTACACCAAAGCCCTGTAATAGCGTAGGACCCTTCATTTCTCGCTTTTATATTCCTTGTATGCTTGTATATAACTGTTAGTAACTTAGGCGTGCATGACAAGAATAAATCAATCAATTTGTAGATCACTAATCTCAAGACAAATATCTGAAAAAGCATTGTCGCACACTTGCACCCTCATGGTATACCTCATTTGGTTGCCTCAGAAAATAACTGTCACAATTCTCGAAACTTGAGAATTCTTAGTGGCTGTCCTTAAGTCTAAAGAGATCACTAGCGCCTCGATGACCTTCTCAACTGTTGCCTTGGTTAAAAAAGTGATCTTAGGGCTTTAGGACAGTTACTAAGAGTTTTTTCCCAGTTGCCTTTAGTGACCGTACGTCCCTTTCGATAGTCCCTCAACATCCGACAACTAGGGATACCTACTCACTAATAGTAGGATAACACTGTCTAAAGGATAGGAGGAAAAGAAAAAACTTTTTTCGAGTAGGTAGATAACTGTTAAGTACTTGCTCAAAATAATTCATTTTTACACCACACTTTCAAAACATTTTTCCAACAAAGTTTTCAAAACGCTTTATCACACTCTTGAGGATTGATACAAGAGTTACCATAAAGCAAACAAATTTTTTTCAAAGCACACCAAACACTTTTCAAAAATGAGAAAGTACCTAAGATCCCATAGATAACTACGGATGGAAAGGGTGCTAACACCTTCCCTTTCCATAATCTATCCCCCTTACTCAGAAACTCTCGAAAAAAGGTCTTTTTCTGTTCTTTTCACCCTTTCCTTTGTTGGATAAAAGAAAAGTTGGTGGCGACTCTTGCTTACCGCGACATTTGCAAACAAAAAACGCAAAACCAGTATTAAATAGTTTGTTCTACCACCGTATCACACGCATCATTATATATATATATATATATATATATATATATATATATATATATATATATATATATATATATATATATATATATATATATATATATATATATATATATATATATATATATATATATATATATATATATATATATATATATAGGGATATATGATTGTTGTTCTTCTATGCAAAAACGCCTCTGAATGATATATTAGTATTTGTATTGTACTATGATACTTCTCATGGTTTGCTATATTTCTTTATGATGTTGTTAAAGGGGGAGAAGAACATGCGAGAAAAAGTTGGGAAGCACAAAGTCAGGGGGAGCCTTCGATAACTACATGAAATGAATCATCGAAAGTTTTGCCATCATAAAAAAGGGGAGTAATTAAGTACACTTCATCATTAGATGTTTTTCATGATGTCTATTATACCCCAAAATTTTCCCTCCCAATTTTCCTCAAGACATCTTCTCATGCTCATAGGGTTTTCATTCGTTCAAGGTTGCTCGAGAATTGATCTGACAAATTCTCCTCCTAAGCAATTGACCTACAACTAGGGTTTCTCTTTTTTCAAGGAAGATTGGGTTTCTAAGGACTCAAGTGGATTTCATGGTTTCTTATATGTCTCCAAGAATGCCCATACTAAATTTCATGCCTTGCATCGCAAGTTTGCTCAGATGACTAAAAATCAATTATATTGGACAAAAAGTCAACTGTGGTCAACATACAGTCAAACTTCATGTTTTTTGGTCAACCTTAATATTTTGAAGTCATATTCATCATTTGATCAAGGTTTGATCATGATTCATCAAGAAAACTATCAAATTATCAAAAGTAAAAAATTGCCAAATTAGGATTTTCTTATGGAGAAGTCAATTGAACTTTGACCAAGCATAACTTTCACATGCTTCATCATATTTTCATAAACCAAAGCTCATTTTTAAGGAAATTAAATTCTCTACAACTTTGACTGTCTAAGCTCAAGTCCAAAAAATGCTTCATTTGAGAGATATGGGCCAAAACATTATAGGTCATTTCAAAAGTCAACAAAAATACACATTTTATCAAGGCAACTTACATCAAGATAAAATCTTCAAATGAAAAAATAATCAACATAGATATTGTATAGGACATCTTGAGCTTTCCAAAAAGTCAAAGATTACATTCAAATTATAAAAATTGAGAGCGTTATGATTGGTGCAAGTTGGGAAATTTTGAGCAAATGCATGAAGTTCAAATTGAGCAAACTTGAATTTTTGGGCTAATGGGCAACTGTTTCAAGGTCCATGTGTGTTATACACTTCATATAAACCTCTAAGTTACTACATTCACCCCTCAACCTCTTTATTTTATTTATTTTAATTTTTATTTTTTTAAAAATCAAAATAAATTAGATAAAACAAGTTTTTCCTTACAAGGTCCAAGCCCATGTTTATTTGACCTAATTTCATGCTTCTATAAATCTCATGCATTCATACAAGCAAGCCACGAAACCCTTGTGCAAGAAACACTTTTCTAAAACTCAAAAATATCAAAGAACTAGGGCAACTTGAAACCCTAGCTCGCAGCCACTTTCATAACAAACCAATTGTGCCATTCAATTCCTGAAGCATTGTAGGGTAAGAATGGGTCATTCGTGAAGATCCAAAAGGGCTGAAATGCTCGTATATGCATCATCGGTTTCATCATTGCATGATTTTTCATATCTTTGCTTTCATTATGTTTTTACGCATAGTAATCTTACTAACGTGTGTAATACCCCAAATTTGTTCCACCCTTCTACTTTTATCTAGCTTATGCATTTTGCACTTCTCATTTCATCTGCATACCTTCCATTAGGTCATCCAACTGACTGGGGTATACATCAAATAAACCTGATTCTTTTGGTTATTCGTTAAGGAAAAGAAGTCGTGTGATATTAGGGTTTTACGGTGGTTAATGCATTCGTATCCAATAAAGGCTGACTCCTTCTTCAAGCATTAAACCGAGGCATTAAGGTTGTGACATATGGTTATTGGTATTTCTTTCCCTTCAAGCTACAAGGCTATTATTTCCATATCAACAATAGGTCGCATGCTTTTTCTCTTTAGATCCATGAATCCAGGGTTTATATCCTATTATATTCGAGTTTGTCGACATTTTCAATGGATGTTTGACGGATAGAAAGACATGGTAAAATGAGGGTGTTGTGAATTTGTTATGATCAAGGGTATTATTATTCTCAATTGTTTGATTGCTTGTATTGCAAGATTAGCTTGGGCGTGAGAATTGAAATTAAGATTTCTTCAAGAATGATACTTTGTGAGGTCACTGGTTAGCAATTCAAAGGTTTATGGATTAAATTGCGAAATATTGAATCATGACTCAAAGGATAATTTTGTGGGTTCATTTTTATACTTGTTGCTCGCAAGGCAAATGGATGTCAATTGAATGATTTTGTTAATTAAATATTGGTTTAGAATTGTTCATATGAGTTCACCATATTGCGTTCCAAGTTCCAATCATAAGTCCATTCATACATTAAAAGTAATCCAAAACCACTTCAATCTACCATTCAAAAATACCATATTTGCATTACAAAGTCAGTCCAGATACACCATTGTTACTTTAACCAATTCATACAAAATGCATTCAAACAAAATTCCTAAATTCTAAACTTAAGTTCTATCTTTGTCTTCCAACCATTCTTCATGCTTATTTGCCAAAACATCTGTCCAAACTTCATGCTCCTAATGGTCATTACATCATCAATTGGAATCATAAACAAGTAATAATGACACAAGCTAATTTGTCTAAATTCATGCTTTAATTTCCTCCTTGCACAAAACTAAACCAAGCCATGGCAGCCCGACACTAAAAAAACCAAATCAGCATCCTGCATAACCTATGGCTTCCCTGTATACAGTTTATCAAACCAAAACCAATTAACATCACCAATCCAAACCAATTGAAACAAGCTTCATAAGTACAAAGAGAAACAGGGAAATCAGGAGAATGTATTAACAAAGTTAACAAAATTACCAAACTAACTTCATAACAGAATCCTGTAACTAACTTTCCAACTGTTTATAACCAACTTCTCAACAGAAACATAACAGAAAACAGAATGAAATCGGGAGAAAAAAACTCAGAAAAATATACAATTCATTCATCAGCGCAGGAAAAAAACTAACAGAATTCTCAAAAAATAGATTGAAACAAATTCCAACAAATTCCAACAAAAATATATAATAGAAAATTACCAGACTCACAATTCATTTTCAACACTTTCGTAGAGAAAATCACCACAAACTCACGACCTTCTCAATTCCCCTTCATCTCTTTCACCCATCTGAACATGACACATTTCCTTCACCCAAAGTCACAATGGAAAATCATTCAGAAAAATTCATAATTGATTGATTTACAGAAAAATCAGATAGAAAACTCACCAATAAGATCTTTATTATCTCTCTCTGAAAGCTACTTCAGTCACCTTTAAGCCTTAATAACCTTCAATAAGAACTGGGTTGAATCTGGATTTTCTCTTCAATCTTCGAGGAGAACTTCTTCCTCTTCATCATTCCGCTTGCGGCTTCATCATTCATCAGCATCACCATCACGACTTCTGCATCAAGAACAACTGCATCAACAAATCCTCTGCACACGATTCATCGTCACCCGCATCACTGATATTCATTGGTCCACCATCAAGATTTTATCATCTTCAATCTCTCTCTCTCTCTCTCTCTCTCTCTCCCCCCTCTCTCTCTCTCTCTCTCTGCATCAATTATCATTGAAACTTCACATTTGGATCATCTTCATCGTGTCATCTTCAGCGTCATCTCGCTGTTCACATCAACTACAACAATAATAAGTGTAACAACAACATCCTCACCATCGTTATTCTTCATCCGCAAGAAGAAAAATGCATCAACAACGAATCTTCGAGAACGCAAAAGAATTTGGAATTGCGGAAGAACGACGACATCATTATTTGATTCGATAGGGGAAGAAGTTTTTGAACCCTCCGTAGATCATCGAGAGAGCGAGACAAAGCTTCAAGCACGACGATGTCACTGATGCTGTTATCGTGAATGAGTGAAGACATGGAAGATTGAGAGCAGTGAAGAAGTTTCAGAGAGGTGAAGAAGTTTGAGAGCGGTGAAGGAAGTTGAGTCGGGGATTGGCGCCGTTTGCAACTTTGATGAAGAAGGAGTTTTGCATGAAGGCTCAACAGTCACAACCAATTCAACCCTAAAATTCTCCATACATTTTCATGCTTTTTTTTACTTAATTAAATTTTTTATTATTATTCAAGATAATAAAATTATGTTGAGGATAACTGGGTAGTGGTGATGAGCCTGGGCCGAATCACACTCTCGGGCCTAGAGTTTTTTTGTGTGGTGATTTCTTGTGGAATTGTAAACAAAAAAAGGATTGATGAATCTTTTTCCTAATGGGCCTAGCGCTCTCTACTTCTGCAACATTCTGAATTAGGGTTGCAGCCTCCTGAAGCCTCATGTGCTCTTTTGGTTTCAATTCCATTTTTTAAAATATTGTGATTGAATTTTTTATGACTAGAAAACAAAAGATACTTAAATGAAGAGTTGAAGAGGTTTCAAAGCTAGTAAAGAGCACAATTTTCATCAAAGAAATCCAAGGAAGATTTTGGTAGAGTTTTCTTATCGCTTGCATGGTTTTGAAGAGGCAACGGACCTTCTCCGTTAGGTATCATTGTGGCTTCACTTTTATTCCTCATTTTTGTACTTTACTGCTTTTCTATGGATCATGAGAAGTAGGGTTTTACTGCTTTCTGATGCCATGAGAAGTAGGGTAGAGATGTATGAAGGGGATCTCCGTTGCTGATCATGTCAGGAATCCCTCTGGTTTATTTAAAGTCCCGTTTAGGGAAATTCTACATTGTGTGCATTCTGTTTTCTACCTGTGTGTGGTTAATTTAAAACCCTACCTTTGAGTAGGTATTCTGCAGGTGTGTTTACATTTATGCCCATACTATTACCCTATCCCTTATTGAAGTCCTCAAAAGGAGGCGAGCCAAGAGGGTTTGCAATCAACCCCCACAATTTTGTCTGTGTCAACCTTAGCTCGTGACACACCATGATGCTTTAGAGTTGTGCCTGCTCATGCGTATCGAGTCTTCAAGTGGGTAAGGGTTCCACAAACGAACCCCCACATTTTGTCAGGAGTTCGCATTGGCCGATGCTGATACTCCGTGATTGTTCATATTGCCTTCTGTCGCCTACTTTGATCTTCTATAACTTGGTTAGATGTTCAGTCGCTTTGGACATCACATTTTTGTTTTACATCCTACTCTCGCTTGTTTGTCTCGGGTGATACGCTCCCCTTGACTAAAGCATTTTTCTTCTTTTCTTTACATTTTTATGTGTGTTCTCTTTTGAGCTTGTTTATTTTATCCTTGTACATACCATGTTCCCTTAGGATGTACCTGTTCCTTTCGGATGTAAGTTAGAACCGAGGTTGCAATCCATGCATGCTAACATTAGGTAGATATTTCCCTTTCATCCTTAACATAGGGCCACCATTGTATGATAACATTAAGTTAGAAATAGGCTAGTCTCCCGTAGACTCTTTTCTTCACTTTTTGCATCCTTGCATTTAAAACTAAACCTTCCTTCTCTTAGCAAATAAAACATGCTAATCACACCTAAACCCTTTTTTAAGGTAACAAAATACAAACCAATCAAATGTGGCATCTTGCCTTGAGGGAGTAACTCAAAATCATTTTCAGGTAAGGACATGATTAATTTACTTCTGTGCTAACGTGTGACTCTCCAAAGGTCGAGCTGTGGCAGAAGGCGAAATTAACATTGTTCATAAAAAACACAAAAAAAAAACAAAAACTTTTGAGCCGAACTATGGTAACTCTGATTCCTCAAAAAGGATACGTAGACATTGGGGTAGGGCCTAAGTGAGTACAACTTTATTTTCCCTACATTATTTTCTCATTCCTTTTGCATACATTTTTTCTTAGTAAGCAGTAAGCATAGATTAGACATACCCATAAGTTAGACAACAAGAGTGGATACCATAGAGTACTAAGGGCGTGTGGGGTGCTAATACCTTCCCCTTGCATAACATACTCCCTTACCTGATCTCTCGGTCTCAAGACCGTGACTTCTCCCTTCTCATATTTTCTCGATGTTTACCTTTCCCTTCATGTGGGATAAAAGACGTTCGATGGCCACTTTATTGTTTGATGATTTTCAACCAGTTGTTTCAGCTGGCGACTTCATTGGGGACAGGTCGACCAAATGCTGTTCCATCCCGAAGTCGCTCCTAGCTCGTGTTTTATTTTATTTGGGTGTTTTTCTTATGCTTTCAGTTTGTTCATCCATACATGATTACCTGAGCATATGTATGCATTTCATTTTACTGTTTTCCATATACTATTGTTGTACTGGACCTGCTTCTTGATTGGGTGGATGTTACTATGAGGTAAAAGGCCCAATACCCAAGCTAGAGTTGTATACCACTAGGAACCCTAGGAATAAAGTGGAGAATCATGACGAATGATAGGCGTATGCCCTATCACCATCCGATCATGAAGCCACAGTCAATTGAGGTTCAAGTGAGGTATTTTCAGCATCACAGATTTGTATGATGATAATACTTTTAGGTGACCTATGATTCTGATTATCCACGACCTTACCTTGACCTAGTTTTCACTCGTGAGTGGGGAGGGAATAATTGTCATAGGTACAGTTGGTGACTATGTTCAGATGGTGACTATTGGTTCTAATGTTTATGTTCTGGATTTCTGCTCGTGACTATAGTTCTTTGGTTTATGTTCCGAACCTATGATTTTGGTACTGGCAGACTATGCAGAGGCAGTGCAATAGAAACTAGTATCATGGAAGTAGTAATCCCATGATCATTTAAACTTACATAATAGCATGTTTACTTTTCAAAAAGAAATGTTAGAAAAATGAAACTATATAATAAACTTGCATGTGCATGTCCATTCCGGGGTATCTCACAAAGTTATAGTTTCCGTCAGTAACGTCTAGCAACAGTGATCTTCTCAAGAAGACCAAAAGAGACAATTGTACTTATCAATTCCGCTTAAGTTCTTGGCCTTCTTTGAAGAGTTTGAAAGACCATTTAGTCCGTCCTAATAAGACATAATGGCACTTTAACTCTATTAGTTGTTCGAGCAGATGATGAAGCTCTTTGAACTCTACTTCAGTTTTATGACTATGAGTTATGTTGCTTCACATTCCAGGACTATCAGATCATTCAGATTTTGGAAGAGTATTCTCATTTGCTCAAGATTACCGAGCACATTCCATTTATTGCTATTTCGAATGAGCCCAGTCTTGAAGTTGTTGCTAAGGAACTTTATTTAGGCCTTAGCGATGTGAGACAGAGATAGAGAAAGAACAATGGCCTACCCTTGGACTTCTTGGTCGTTAAAGCAAAAGAAATGGCTAAAAGTGGTACTTGGTGCGGAGTCCATGATACAATCCAATAAGGAAATTACAAATCTCAAAAAGCAGGTTGGAAACAATAATGGGGCACAACCCGTAGTCTGGAGATCACGATGATCAAGAAGGATGAGACGTTTCGAAGTCTGGTTTTAAAAACTTGGGGGCAGAGTCTGTTGTAATCTTTAGAGCTAGGAGACTGATTATTGCATCATTGTTCCGATTACTGCCAGGCTTGTTGGACAAAATCACTTATCTTGTACTTTCATAACTTTCTTGTATTGGACTCCGCTGGAATTTTTCCTATTTCCAAATATTTTCTTTATATGGTCGTCCTTATTATCATGTTGCTCGATTATTATTGGCGTTGATTGAGCTATGAAAAACCGGAATGGACAATCATTTCATACATCATACAAATCATGCATTTCATGAATTATAGGTTTTCTGGCCTGAATTCTTATTTGATGGTCTAGCCTCTTATAATCAGAATCTACAAGACGAATTCCTTACATCCTTATCACACTCGATCCAACAAGTTGGGGATTATGGAGCAGATTGAGCAGAACCAGGCCGCCCTCCGCAAAGACATGAACACCATGGGTGATCAAATGAATCAGCTCATGGAAACTCTTCATGCCGTCATCCAGGGGCAGGAAGAGCTCAAATTAAGTGTTACTAAGCTGGTTGACAGTGCCTCTACGTCAGAGAATGGTGGACCCAAGAATGACAATGGGGGAATTCCTAAAGAGAACCCACAGATGATTATGGATGACCACCATGATGTCATCGATCTCGATGGCCCTCCAAAGGATTCTACAGCTGATTTTTCTGAAACTGCTAAAATGTACAAGGCTTTGGAATAACGTTTGAAGGCTATAGAGACGTCCAAAAGGCCAGGATTCAATGTTGCTGCTATGTGTTTGGTTCCGGGAGCCGTGATTCCACCAAAGTTCAAAGTATCAGAGTTCGACAAATATAAGGGGGTTACATGTCTAGAGACTCATCTCCACTCATACTGCAGAAAGATGGCCGCTTATGCTAGCAACGAGCCGTTGCTCATGCATTTCTTTCAGGACAGTCTGGCTGAAGCTCCATTGGAGTGGTACATGCAGTTAGAGAAAAATCATGTTAGTACTTGGGGTGAGCTTGTCGACGCTTTCCTAAAACATTATCATTACAAAATCGCCATGGCACCTAGCCGTGCATAGTTGTAGAGTATGTCTCATAAGGCTAATAAGTCTTTCAAGGAGTATGCCCGGAGTTGGCGCAATTTGTCCGCGAGGGTTCAACCTCCTCTCTTGGACCGTGAACTGGTAGATTTGTTTATGAATACCCTCCGAGGTCAATATTTGCAACACATGCTTCACATTACTTATGATTCCTTCTCTGATATGGTTATCATTGGGGAGCGGGTTGAAATATGTATTAAAGTAGGGACTATTGCAGGTGCATCTGGCACGAATGGTAACAACAACTCAGGTAGTGGAAAGAAACCATATTCTAGCGATTCTGTCAAGAAGAAGGAATGAGAGGTGAGAAATTCCTCCGTTGATAAGGGGAAAGCTGATGTACAGGTTCCATATTATCAAACTCTTGTTGCCGCTCCGCAACATCAACATGCACCACCATGAAACTATAA